ATTAATTTCTCCTCTGCCACGTTTGCATTCTATATATGGACAAATAAAACGAAAGTTGCTGAACATCAACACGCAATGAAACAAAGCGTCGATTTTAGTTGGCGAGGACATGAGGTCATCTAATAAAGTTTGTGGCAATCAGACAGATTGCTGTATGCGCGTCATTGCAGGATATGTAGAAGTTCCAGTTTGTCATGTGTAAACTAGAGCTTGTGCTGATAATACTTTAAATATTTACTTTTTGATACGTAACAAAAACAATCATTGAGATACAGAAGGAAAATTGTTTCTAAAAGTCTTGCTTTAATCAAATGAAAAATACTTGGAATAAGTTGGAATTTATGTTACCCACGTTTTTTATAATACCAATGGACTTTGTTTTTGGCTCATGTATAATATTTCAAAAAAAAAAAATATTAAGTTACCTAGCTAAATTTAATTTGTTAAATGATATTTATTAATAATCCAAAATTTTAAGAAATTAATTTAAAATCAACTTAGTGGAATTTCATAGTGGACTAAAGAAATCTTAATAGAATAAGTTAAGGCGAGGCGAAGAGGCAAGCAAAAAGTGTCCAAAAGTCATGAGTGCAGAGAGGTACTTCAACAGTTACTACTTCTACATATAGATAAGAAGTGATGCAATTTGAAGCGCTTTTTGCCTTCCAAGCATCAGCTCCTATATAGTTGATGACCTTTCAAGACATCTTTAAACCCTTAAAGTTTCTCTACCTTACGTGAAGACAACTCAAATTTATTCCCGTGCGAGGTGAAAAGAAAAAGAGAAACTTCAAGCAGCCCTTAAATGATTTTATTTCGTCCTTGTCATTAGTTAATGAAAGTCGCAAATTGTTTTAACTGATATACATTTTTTCTTCAATTTTCAAACAACAGTCATCAATTAATAGATAAGGACTTATAATAGATGAAAATCAGAATAACATCTACATATTCCGTTTCGTTTCACCTACAGAAACTAACATCCACTCATCTTACCTGCTGTATGCTACGACTACCAGGAAACGCGTTCAATACATCCATACCGCTTTGATTCAACTGAGAGGGACGTAGAATCTTGAATCATGTTTAGCAAGATTTTATTGTGTTTAAGGCTAATGCTTAAACTGCGCAGGCAAGTCTAACACCAAATATAGCAGAACATCACTTGCAGATCAACGTGTAGAATCATTACATTTAAATATAATTAAAATAAGAAGGACTGCCAATGACAGTATTTTTCTCAGACTGGTTGAAATAGTTAAACGGAACTGTTTCGCAAATCTGTGGTGATATGGACAATGTAGCAAACAAAATTTGTTTAGATATTTTTTAAATCTAAACGTTATTAAAATAATTTCTTTTTACCATTAAAGCCAAAAAAAAATAAATTTAAAAAAGAAATTTATTATTATCATTAGTTTTATTATTTTCATAAGCAACCTAGAACCTCATTTTACCTAGGGTTTCCGCTGCATCACTCTCTGCTAAATATGAATTTGATTCCTTCAAAATCCATGTGGCCTTTAGGAAGCTACAATAGTTTAAAGCATATGAATTGAAAGAAATCTTTTTTTATTATGTAAAAAAAATTACGATATGAGTAGATTGAAGATATTCCCTAAACGACTATGTGGCATACATACACCAACTACTTCAGAAAAGTGCTAACTGTGCTAACTGTAACTTCTATCAAACGCTTTGCCGATTCATTTTAAAAAAGGGATATTACTCTTATTACTTAATAATTACTTATTAATTACTTAATAAACACATGGGATTCTTAATTATTATTTCATACTAATAAGTAACTTAAAATTTATAACAAATGTCTTTAAGCCTAAATTATCATCTTTTTTTTCATTAAATCAATAACTATTTTTTCAACTTATAGAAAATATTTTTTTTTAAAACTGTCACCAAAATTTTTTTTCTATTGTCGTCTCACATTCAATGGAGTAGGCATCGCACGTGGTCATACGTCCATAACAATGGAATCAAATGACTTGAACTTTTAGACACATTTATTTTTATTTCTTTACACTTTCGTTATTGGTGGACAATGTTATTTTTCCACTTCGAACTTACGTTGCATGCTTCGTAAATTTAATGTTAATAAAGGGTGTTTTTTTCTGATTCTCAAGTGATTCTCAAGTTGGCGACATGGTTTAAATCTTCGACGATTTATATTCAATATATAGACTCTTGTTTGCCTCATGGACTAGTAAAATTATTGGAGCTTATTATTCCAAAAATATGGTACTACAGGTCGGAATATTATAGACAATGGAGTTCGTTATAAATAGATCGCTAATGAATGATTTCTTTGTTCCTCAATTAAGTGACGTTATTATAACACAACTTTGGTTTCAATAAAAAAACATCGTCTACTACCACTTAATAGGAGAATTTTTAATAGATATATATGCACTTATCTTCTCAAATTAATTAGAATATAAGAACACTTAAAAGTCAACATTTGCGGAGTCATTATCGATTTATGACCACAATTGCTCGAAAACTGAACTTTCAAATTGTGTTTCATTCACCGTAGGAAATACCATTTCCTTAGGGTATTTAAATGTCAAAGTCTTACAATTATCTTATAAAATTATCTTTAAAGAAAACACCATGTTTTGTTTTACTTTATAAATTAAGCATTTAAAAAAAAAAACACCCTTTACAACCTTTACGTTTGGCACCCACAACGTCTATATCAATCTCACTGCAACCTTTGCCAAATTAAACCCCAAAAATAGCCTGAAACAATCGATGCGATAACACGGAAAAGAATTTGTGTACATTAAGTCGTTGTTGTTCCTGAAACTAAGTGCTTCCAACCTTCTATCACGAAAATCACATACCACATTTACGTATTTAAGAGAATGGTTGACATGCCGTAAATGCATTGCATGTTTAATAATTTTTTTATTTAATTCTGTTGATTTTGAATATTTTAAGTTTCTTAATTTCTCTACCTTCCTTCACAAAATCCCTTGAGGTTTTAAAATATTCGTATGTTTATTTATATATCGGTTCTACTTTCATAACTGAAGGTTAAGGTCACATTATATAAAAACCTTCAAAGATATAATCTCGAATGACGAAAACACGAAAAAGGATTAAATTTATTACATGAAGTGAAAATTAAACTCGTAAAGCAAAAATATTGACAACGAAATATTTGTGATTTCTTTCGAGATTTCTACTTAGGGCCAACAAAAGTACCATTAACTGTTTCATTTCAACTAAGAAGTTCTTTCACTACATAGACACTTCTGGCTGAACCTTTCAAATACAATAAATCAGACCTCGAAACACTATAGCCTCATATTAAGGCTAAAGTGATTTCCTATTAAATTTAAAATTGTCTTCAATTTGTCAGCATGATTTTACTACTAAGTATTTTATAATCTTAGAGTACTGAGCATAAAACCTTTGAACATTCCACATATTAATATCGAAATAAAAAATTATTCCTTTCTATTAGAATAGTTTCAAAATACTTTCATTATGACGAAACATTGGCAAATAAAATCATAAGAAAATGTTTTTTTAAGATGTGTTAAAATTACTAAACTTAAACTCTACCTGAACAGTCAGGTTTCTATATGGTAAAGAGCCATTAACTCTATGAGTTTCTGAACATAAATGTTTTATCTGTTTTGTGGTGCTAGAATAAATTAAATTTTTACAGACCTGTTAAATAGGCATATCGCCAATGGAAGAGAACTAAAAAACAGATTGACATCGACTTACCTGTTCACCATGCATATTAGGATCTTTAAAATTAGTACCATCGAAAAACACATGGGTTAGATGGTAAGAAGATGGCAGGCTCACTAAGACCCAAAAAGAAATTGTGTTTGTTCTCGGTTTCTAGACATAGAAACGTGAAAAGAAACAAGTTAGCTGACATTAAGTACTACTAGCACGCAGATTAACAGCGATAGGCTTATTAAACACTCCTGTTATAATTTGGCTTAACAACTGTAACATAAAAAGTATCTTCAACCCCACTCCACAGAGAACTCATGCAGTTTGAACACATTTTTGCTCTGAAGAAAGAATAAACTAAAGTTAAAAAATAATAATATTGCGGTAGGCCTATCACCTGCCAATCTTAAATCAACCGATTAATGAAACCGTAATGCGGTCCTATGCTCCTCTTAGGAGTTAAAGGATTAAATATATAAAGAATAATAATAACTTCACTCAAAACACACTTTTTGCTTGGAGAACACTATCGTGAACATCTGCTTTATTCCAACCGCCATTGTCACAGACATGGTTATAATGTTTACCGGCAACTCCCAGTGTCATAAGCTCAGGTAAATAACCAGGTCGCGGCAAAAACTATCTGTTAACTATAGAAGGAACTTAGATGAGCTCTTGTAAAATCTTATTAAAAGCAAATGACCTCTACTCCAGCACAGGCACGTTTTTTTTTTAAAGACTACAGACACGAAAGTCTATTCATAACTTCTCAATGTTAACCTGTTGCAGTTATTAACTGACCTATTTATTACAAAAAAAAAACCGTATGTAGAAATATACATTACAAAAATTGATGACTTAGTTCTCGAAGAGTATTATATTATTAAAAAATATCAACAAATGTGACTATAAGATAATAATTTAACCTATCTTAAAACACCAAAATGCTTTTGCCTCATAACATGAATAAATATTCCTGCGCAAAAGAAGAAAACTTAAATTTTAAAGAATTTCAACCATTTTATACCCACTACAAATATTGTTTCTGTTAATTTCTTGGAAAATGTTCTACTCGGCAAGGACTTCAAAATAAACATATAGCGTCGAGTATAGAAATTTTTTTTCTGATTTTAATGCTTAAGGCCCTAATTAGTGAATTTGTTAACTACCACATATCACGTTACTTTTACACACCTCGGAGCCCAAAAGGTTGATAATACACAAACACAATTTGCTACTTATTGCTAAAATTTATTGTTTACTTATATCTATTTCAACATAAACATATTTACATATAATTCAATATTTGTTTTGTTCTTATTATCAATGGAATGTCGACGATATAATAATAAGATTGACTTCTATGTGCAAAAATATACTTACATTTAACGAAGTCTTGTATAATGACAAGGCGTTGAATACTATTGAATTGCTTGTAATATAAAACTAGTTGGTTTTAAAAACTAATTAGTAGTAAATTCCACTCAATAGGCACGTCAATTTGAATTATGGTTCTGTCTACATAAATGTAACTTAATACTATGTGATCTTGAACCCGTAATCTTGAACTCGGAGTAAAATCAGCTACAAAATGCGTTTTAAGTAAAGTTTCCGAGTTATCACTAAAGCAAGTGGATGAGATATTTGTTCCTGGTATATAATGTTATGTTCCACAATATGTAATAGCAAACATTTTGTTGGGACTTGCATTATATACCTATAAATTTCATTGAAAGTTTTGATTTTTGGTTCTATATTCAATAACATATTTGTACTTACTGAAAACTGATTAATCTTACACTTGAGAAGGTTGAAAATGTATACAGATCAGAAGAGTAAATCTTACTTCAGAGGAATTCCATACTCTCTACAGTCACTAAAATGTGTTACGATGTACAGTTAAGATGGCAATATATGTTCAGGAAAGCGCTCAGCAAATGATCACGTAAAACCGGTATAAAAGCCATTCCAGCGATTGATCGTGTAAAAGCGATATAAGTGCCATTCCTTACTGACATAACATTTATAGATGATGAACTATCAAAATTGCAATGCATGGTCCAGAACGTGTCCACCAATTGATCATGTGAAACAGATATAGTAGAGTAGAACAGATATAGCAAATTTCACTTTTCGAACCGTCATGTCAGCAATTTTATTGATTAATTTGAATAATAAATAAAATTGTTACTTGTGTTATTGTTGTGTTATTAAAATTTTCTTTCTGTTGTTTCATTTTTTTTCCTTTTAAAATAAAAATTGTTATAAAAAGTATAGTAAATGCATTACTCACCTGCAAAATAAGCGATCATATTGAGCCACACTCCATCTCTAGGTTCCGACCACAGTAGTTTCATAATCCAAATGAGGAATCAGTGCATACCGCTATTTGTCAAATGATTCCCTTTCAACAAAATATGCCACCCAGGCTCGAAAGTTGCATTTTGCTTAAAACAATTGTTATAAAAGTTAACAATTAATTTATTAAATAGAATAACAATCTCTTTGAACTGTATCCGCCAATCATTTTCTTGTAAAAGAGACTTCTTCTAAAACGTTCCAAACTCAGTGCAGAAAGCTATTAACATTTTTATTGGCACTTACCTTTTGTAACTTTAATAATAGAATCATTTTTAATATTATTATTGTGAGTCAATGCTATATTCAGTTTGATTAGATAGATAATATACTTGTATTTTTTATTTAGAAACTAAACCATTTGAATCACGACAAATTTTCAGAACTGATAATTTTGATTTTCTGTCCTAAAATTTTGTTAAACACAAGTATAATAAGAAAATTTTATATATGAAATATGATATTATGTTTTCAAAGTGAGTTTATAAATTTATTTTTAATTTTAAAGTTAAGCAATGAAAACTAGGTTTTTCACAACACAAACAAGCGTAGTTCCTCTTCGATTCTTAGTACATTTAAGAT